ATTACTCAGTTAAATATTTCCGTAAATCGCCCAAAGGATTTTTTTTTATTTTTCCAAACGTCGAAGATATTGGACTTATTTCAAATGATGATGTGGTGTCTGTTTTAGAAAAGCCTCAAATAAAAAGAGGACATTATTTTTTTAATGTTCCTGAAGTTGCTAATTTACGTTAAAGTAAAAATGTTGCAAAATTTAGCATTTTCATTTTTATAAGTATTATCCATATTACCAATTAAAATGATTTCTTTCCTAACTGTTGAAAGAATTTTAGTTTTTAAATAAATAAATATAAATATTCGTTTTAATGTTTTTTTTTTCGTTCACTGAATTGTATCACTTTCTTACTGTAAAATATTTTTAGTATTTTTTGTAAAGAAGAAATACAATCTTTTAAAATATTTGATATGGTAAACAATTCTCACCTCCGTAACAGAACTCCTCACCTCCGTACTTAGCGATTTTAAGAAGTTTGCTTTTTTTTTAAAATAACCATATTAATTAGTAACCACTATTTTAATTACTTTCCTGTAACATGTATCAATTCAAAAAATGCGAAAAGTATACATTTTTAAAGGTTTTATAGTAAAACTTTTTTATGTTCAAATATCCCTTTTTTGAAATAATGACCCATATATCAAATGGTGTAACATTGTTGTTTTTTTAATTTTTGACGTTTCATTATAGCCCGCTGGGTCATAATAACGCCCGCGGGCTATAAAAAGACGTTTACGTCAAAGAATTGTTGTTATAATTTTCATATTATAAAGTCATCGTGCATAAATATATTTTTCACCAGTTTAAATTGTTTAAGTCAATGTAGCTAACTGCAACGTTTTCTGATTCTTAAAACGAACCGTAATTTTTAAGTTTACTATCTCTAATAATTAACAAAAAAGAAAAATATGGTGTAATTATAGACCTCTGAAAAAAAAGTGATAAGCCAAAATTTGGCTAAATCTTAAGTTTTCTTAAATACCATAGGCTCGAATTGACCAAATATTATAACTTTTAAAAGTTAATAAAATTACTTTACAGTTTAAGTTATAATATTTGGTAAAGTCGCGACTATGCATATATGGTATTTTATCTCTATAGTTTTCTTATTTTTTTTAAACGAGAGCTAGAAGAGTACCTAGAAAAATACCTAATTAAACTAAAACATTCTTATTGTAGTTTCTAAGCTTTTCTTAAGTTTGTTAAAAAAGTTATTGCTAAACCATCGACGATATTTTAATTTGATCGTCTTGTTTTTTTTTTTAATTTAATTAGATAAAAATTAAATTTTGGAGTTTTAATAAAATATAGTTTGAAAATATTAATGTGTGTGTGAGAGAAAGAGAGAGAGAGAATCGTTAAACCATTTTTTCTCCGTAAGACCGAGCGCACGTCTCTCGGAACCGCGCGCCGCGGCGTAGCTACGCGTAGGCTTGGAACTGTAGCGACGATTTCACATGCATTTATTTACAAAAAAAATTCATAACTTCTACAGTTTTTGATTCCCCCCCAAAAATAAGTAGTCAAAATTTTCGAAAAATTTAGGGCTATCGTCATAATGATTTTTTTTAAATTTGAGGTGGCGTTTTTTGGGAATTTTAATTTGAAAAAAAAATTAGATTTTTTTTGAGAATTTTTGAACAATTTTTTTTTATTTTTACATTATCTTAAACAGCGTCAAAAAATATGTTTATATGATTTTTTTCGAAATTTTTTGTCTTTCGGGTTTTTAAATAATCGAAAAATAAGAGAAGTGACATTTTTTTTTTGTTTATTATGTAACCCCTACAAAAATTCATACAAGAGGTTGAAATTTTAGATTTCTTCATTACTTTAGTTCGCCTATCGACCCTGAAAATTTTAAGCAAATCGAAAACATGAAGTCTTACTCTTGGCCGATTTGGCGTGGACTGCCATATGCATAAATATAGTTACAACAATAATAATAAGAAATAAATATAAGTTACAATAATAAATTATTAAATTCTTCAAACTTCTTGGAGCTTTTTCATGAAAGCCGCAAGTTTTAGGCAATACCAGAAACAAGGGCTTGTATTGCAAGATAACCAGTGCTTAACAGGTAAATCATAATATCAAAATAAACCAAACAAAAGTAGACAATGTTTGAACATTGGTAATTAGTAAGCATTTCGTCTGGTCTCGAATTGTCAAATTGTTATAACATTTTAAAACTTGCATTTTTTACAAGGCAGCTGTATGGAACGCAGTTTTACTTTTTATTAAACCCATAAAAACATTCACTTACAATTTTAATTCACTTACCATCGAAATACATAGACCGAATTTATTCGTGTGTAATAGAAATTCAACTATTGTTAAAATTGACGTTACATTTAAATGCAACTAAAATAAAAATACATTCAAATTAATTTATGATAAAAGGTGTTTACATATTAAAACAAAATTTTAGATGTACAGAAATTTGTACAACATTATAAAATATGTGTAAAAATGAAATATTTACAAAACTTTGACTATTAATTTTTAAATATTTTAAAATATCTTATTTATTCGGTTTTCGATAAATCTAATTCAATTTCCGTTAACGAAAATTGATTTCCGTTACCGGAAATTGATTTCCGTTAACGAACACTTATTTCAGATAATGAGTAAATAAATTTATTTATAAACAATTTCAATGGTGCATTCATTTATGTTGATCTTTAATTTCTCTGGTACATGATATTACATGCTGCATGTGCCGTTTAGTTACAATTTCTTTGGTATTCGTATTTTTTATTCTACTTCAATTTCAATGTTACATAAATTTATTTGATAAATAAGGGTCTGTGCCAATTAGCTCTACTGTAAAGAGATGTAGTTCATCTGCGTCAACATCCATGAATGACATTTGTTGTGATTTGCTGATGGTAGTTCATGGTGGAGTTCGATTTTGTATTTCGTGTGTGGTGCATCGCACTTTCATCAAAAGTTTGAAACATAGCTGACTTTGACCCAGGAGGGACAAAATTGAATTCCGGGTATAGAAATATACCTGTATTTTTGGACAATATCGCAAGCTTTGACCTTCTAGCGAGGTATTTTGTGATTTGTACAATACATTGAGTGGATGATCCATGATTTGGAAAATTCACATGTCTATGAGTGGATGGCTTGGTGAAGCGCATGGACATTAAAACTTGTTGCTGGTCAAAGTGGTTCATTGAAACCGAGGTAAAAGAAGAGAAGGTAGTTCATGGTACTAAGACAACATGGCCCAGGGTTGCCAAGTATAAGTAAGTTTTCCCAGACAATTACGGTTTTTTAGTTTGTTGATTGCAAATACGGAATGCAAACACTGAATTTTATGCGGTTTCGCGAGATTCGAGGTCATACGAATTCGAAGTCATAGGGTTTCGCTCTCACGAGGTAATCCCGCTATTTGGTTATGGCTATTGTTTTAATTATTGTTTTTTTTTTTAATTTAAACTCTATATGGGTGAGACTTTTACTTATAATTAAGAAAGGCAGTGTTATTTTTTAATTGTTTAGTAATATTACTGCTCGTTGGAACAAACCTGATATTTAAATTTACTGGTAAAATATTGGATTAGGTACACAAAAACACTATAGTGATAATCAATACAGGCCTAATCTACCATTTAAAACAAAAACAGTTGATCTCTGTGGTCTTTAGCTACATTAACAATATAGAACAGAATTAACAATAAGCAAAATCTTCTTAAACAATTCACCCTCAAAATGAGGGTTGGTGTTCTTCTTTTTCTTCCTTGGTGCCCAAAGGCCTTAATGGTCTCGGTCAATGTACCATTTTGACCTGCAACAAGTTTTAATGTCCATGCGCTTCACGAGGCCATCCACCCATAGACATGTGATTTTCCAAATCTTGGATCATCCACTCAATGTATTGTACAAATCACATAATACCTACCTCGCTAGAAGGTCAAAGCTTGCGATATAGTCCAAAAATACAGGTATATTTATATACCCGGAATCCAATTTTGTCCTTCCTGGGCCAAAGTCAGCTATGTTTCACACTTTTTCACCGAGCGATGTCCCAGAGATGAAAGTGCGATGCACCACACAAGAAAGACAAAATCGAACTGATGAGGGTTGGTAAATGTTTAACTTTGCAGAACTATTTAAAAATCTTTGGGGTATCACTAGATGGCGCCAGTTCCGATAATGCAAATTAATGCTCAGACCTTTGTATATCAAATAAATTTATTTGATATACAAGGGTCTGTGCATTAATTTGCATTAATTTTAATTAATTCATGTAACAATGAAATTAAAGTAGAATAAAAATACGTATACCAAAGAAATTGAAACTAAACGACAAAATAACTTCGTTTTGCATTTATTTGGATTTCGATAAATATAATTCAATTTCCGTTAACGAAAATTGATTTTCGTTAACGGAACTTGATTTCCGTTAACAGAAATTGAACAGTTATTTCAGATAATGAGTAAATCTTTCTTTATTCTATTAATGGGAATTCATATTTTAGTTTGAAACAAAAATTACATTTCCGTTAACGAAAATTGTCTGATTTCCATTATCGCATGTACCATTCAAATTAATTTGAATTTAAATGGTATATGATAATAAAAAATAGAACGGCGCGGCGCTCCATACACCAGCCACTAAAGGTCATTTAATTTTTTTTTATTAAGTAGGTATTTGATTTAATAAACTCAGTACCTACCATTGTAAAGTAAGGAATATTTTATTTTATCTTATAAGATTAAATAAATAATGAATAATGTCTGTCATAGCGGTTATAATAATAATAAAATAATACTTTAAATGAAATTTAAAATTTAATATTATTAGAAATCTGTTTTTACTTAGTATACAGGGCCAACGAAAACGAAAGGAGCCTTTTACATACAAAAAATGTGAAAACACTAAAATTTTATTTTTTTTTCTGCAAAAGAGTTTAAGTGAATTTTTTTTATCAGGACAACTCCTAAAAATTCAATTTAACTCAATACAGGATACGAAATAAAAAATTCTATACCTCCAGTGTGTGTGCCAAGTTCAGCTTCAATTTGGGTTAATACTTCTTCAACTTGGCCTAACAGTTTTAAAAATTCTTCCTTATTAATTATAGTTTTGTGTTTTTTGTCTTGAGCTTCAGCCTTCTTTAATAACATTTCTTTGGCATTGGCATTTTCTTCTGCATACTTTCTTAAATTTGCACTACTATCTCTTTCAGCATCTAAAAACAATTTTAATTGTAAAACAACATGTTACATATAAGAAATAATATGGCTGGTGGTGTAGGTACTTGCTAGTGCAGTTCTGACAGGTCCGACAAAAGGTATTCTAGGATTTTGAACTAGTTCATTATGAAAAAGGGTTCCCATTGTAATAACATTTGCAGGCAAGCTGTCTATTATATTTCTGAAATGTGAAACTTTTTGACGCATTTCTGGTCCCTTATCCATTGGAATTAATCTAGGCGTATCTCCTTAAAAAACTGTGTTATAACAAATACAAACAAATGTAATACTTTTTTACCATTACTAAAATTGTCTTCTAAATAATCTATAATCCTATTAGAATCGGGAATTATTTTTCCGGTATCTTGCAGTACTGGTACTTCCCCTCTAGGATTTATTTCCAAAAACCACGGCTTATACTGTTCTCCTTTAGTTATGTCTATTAGTTTACTTTCAAAATTAAGGTTCTTTTCATGCAATGCCATAACTACCTAAAATTTAAAAAATGCAAGATAATATATAATAATAATAATATTATTTATTATGTAAATATAAAATAGGTATTTACATTCGTAAAAATAGAACATAAAAAATATTAATAACACTGTAGGTAAATTTTCAACTCTTGAAATATCACAGCTAAACGCTCGGACACGTAAACATAATTTTTAGTCGTAGATTCCGTGCTTGGTTTAGCTGTATCTGGTTTAAAAAAAAATTTCCTATCTGAAGTCCGATCCAGGGACACACTGTATACTGGTATATTATAATTTGTAAAATAATATATTTCACCTCTTGTGCCAAAATTCCTATGCTTTTTATTTCAATAAACATAATATCCTCAATTATACTCAATAAAACAAATTAGCAATTATTTTATTTTTAGAAATTATCTATAAAAACTCTCAGAGACCCCTGTTCCTTTTGATCAATTAACTTCAAATTTTGCAATAATTGTTTTTTTTTAATTTGGAACTGATGTGTGGATACAGCCAAATTATTTTTTTTTAATATACAAGGTGTCCCTAAACTTAGTGGCATAAATTTAGGAGCAGATTAAGCAAGTTAAAATATGAAGAAAATCTAAATCTAAATATTTTTTCTAATTACGTATGTTTAAAAGATACAGGGTGATAAAGTGTTACTTATCATATCAGTTTTTTTAATATAACTTCTACTGTGGTAGACTTGGAAAGGTGATATTTTGCGAACAGTAATGTTTAAATTAAACTAATTTCAATGAATGGACTTTTATTTTCATGATTGAAATTGACGCCGATTATTTTAAACAATAAAATCAGTGGATACTTTTCCTTACCAATCAGTTTAATTTAAACATTAAAATAAAGCAAATTTCATACTTTGAAATTACTTTTGCATCTAGCATGATGAAAGAAATAACGCGAAGTTCCTTGAATTTTTTGCCTACTTAGTACTTGGTCGATTAAATGAAAATATGGTTTAAAATTAATAAAAAAATAATGTATCTTAATTTAATATGTAATAAACATCATATAGATTTTTATGATTCCGGTTCCTACTGCTTTATGACGTAAAAAATTTTGAAAATAGCGTCGTACTTTCAAAAGTACACATTTTATTCAATAGTCATGTGAAAAATCATGTAGGTACTCATAAACATGGTTGTAAGTACTTGCAAGTACCTACTTATTTTTTAAATTGTAAAAAATTATCAACAAAAGATTTACGTGTTATTACGCGTTAACGTGTTATTTTTGTATTGTATGTTACTGTTATTATTTTTTGAATTTTTTTGAAAATGGCGCTTTTGGTGAAAGTGGAATTTTTTTGCTCCACCCTGTTCAATCGAAAAAATAAGTAGTTACGCTTTAAAAGACCTGAAATGATATTTCACTCACTTCAAATTTTTTTAAATGTGACCTTGGCAGTACGACGTCATTTGTTTTTTTTTTAATCCATGCATGTCAAAAAATTTTACCTATTAAAATACTAAAATTTTAAATTTCTAAAATAAAAATAATTTTTAAATGTTGTCCCTAGCTATAACTATAGCTACTCATAAAAAGCGATTTTGTTCTTATTTCTGACATACCCTGTAAAGAATCTGAAAAATTAGTAGTTGGTTCAAAATCCATTGTGAGTTGGTTTGATCACCTTCATAAATTAGATAAAGTATCAGCTTGCAATAAATACCTTTTCAATAATGATTCCATTTCCCATTGAAAAGAATGTGACCTTTTGACAGTACGACACCATTTTAGAAATTTTTCAAAATTGGTTTAAGTCAAAAAGTAGTACCCAGAGTACCCTTACAATTGTCTCTGGTAGTACCTATATATTTAATCCCTTGTTTAACATACTAAAATTTCAATTTCCAAATACAGAGGTTCAAAAAATAAAACTATAATAAATAATACAACCAAATTTAAAGAATGGTATAATTATATATTAATATAATACCTATAATAATAAATAGGTTTGCACAATATTGTGGGTATTAGTATATTTTTTAAATTTAAAAAATGATAAATAAAAGAAATGCAATTGACAAACGAAATTATTTAAGTAAACTGAGAATATTTAGTATTAAGAAACCAAGAGATTTTTAATAATATATGTAAACTATTAAAGAATTCTTCATTGAGTATGAGTATATGAGTATAAGAGACGTATAACCAGCCCCATTTCCTCTTGACTCTCGAACCCCGTACAGGCCTATGTTTACTTACGCCGATTTTTGTTCTTCCCCAGCAACTGCACGGCTTCACCCGTGTTTGCTGGGTGCGAATGTCCATTGCGTGCCGTACTGTCCCCTATTTGGGTCTCGAGAGCGAGAGGCGAATAGTTTTAATAGCCATTCCCGGGTTCGCCGAGCCTATGCTATACGCTCAGTGGGGTATGGAGGAGGGACGGGAAGGTGTTGGTTTTTGGGGGACAATTACGCCGACTTAAAACTAAGTACGACGCGGAATCCCCCTAGACCAGACGATTAGTATTACTCCAAACATTTGGGATTACTATTTGGAGTTGGGGAGTTGTTATTTCGCTGCAGGGGTGTAGTTTCCTAGTCGAGGTCTTTGTCTTGTTCGTTATTGTCATTGTCCGTGTCCTGGTCAGATAATTCCTGCACTTGGTAAAGTGTGTCAGTTGTTTTTAATAAATTTTGTCCCAAGCACGTTTTGTGGTAGAGTTTTGTCTTTTTTCTTAAATTCCAAAATTAAGTATTGCATTTATTTATTAGTTAAACAATTGACAAGCGCAATTATTCTGTTATCTAATGATTACAAATCTAGTAGGGTTTGATTATTAGGTTTTTTTTGTTTACGTTGTTAGGGTTAGATATTATGATTAATGTGTTAGTTTATTCTGTGAGTCTAGTGTTTATTTTCGGTTTCGTTTGGGATTGCATTACGCACTTGTGGTTGACAAATTTATTGCCCTACTCCGTGAGCCTTTCATATGTTTTAAAGATATCTGTCGTATTTAAATTGCAGATTTTGTATTAGGTCATGCATATTCTTAAGGTAACTTATCTTTTTTTTTTGCGGATGGCCACCTCCCCTTTTGTTTGACCTCCTTTGTCTGTCCCGTGAAAAGCGTCCAATGACAGGTGGCACTTAACTCATTCATATCACTTAACACTTCATTCCTCAATAACCGCTACACCACTCTAGCTTGCACTCTATGAAAATTGTTTGTTTCACTTTATTAGTTTGCACTTTTTAAAAATTATTGTTGGTTTCAATCTTTAAACTTTTACGTTTTAAGAGCCTTCCCACACGCGTCGCGCGTTCTCAAGCGCTGGAACCGAACTGACTATTAAAGAATTCTTCATTGATAAACAAATTTTATAATAATATTATAATATGGTCCGGTTATTGTGTTTCAGACAAATAAGGGTAAAGTTGTCAAATAACATTGATATATTAATTGTTAACAGTTGCAATATGCAGTATGGTTGCCTATGATAAGTAGGCATCTACTATAATATAGTAGAAATCTACTTATCATGGGCAACCACTATTGCATAATACATCTCGCTTATGTGGCACTAATCGCAATTTGAGATTTAGTGCCGTTTCAGATGAAGCGTAGAACGCGCCCTACGTCCTGCGCCGCGCGATTTAGGATCGGTCGGTTTTGTTTTCACATGAGGCGGTATCAGTATAGACGTGTCTCGAAACACACCAGGCGTTGTTGCCATTTCTGCGTATTGCCTAATTAATAAAACCCGTGAACGAAAGAAACGACATCCAATTTCGGTTTTTATATTCGTCCGAAGTATCCCATATATTTTTGTTTTCATGTACTGCACTTAATAGTTCTGTATCAATATTTAACTCCATGTCGTTCGAGTGCATTTGCATAAATGCGTATGAATAAAACCGGCAATTCAGCTCTCCAGCCAACGCGCGACGCAGCATGTGAATAGCACGTATCACCACCATGCCCAAACGCCTGACGTAGTATGTTCTGTGTGACGTAGCTACGTCGGGCGTACGGGCAACGCGCTAGCACGCGCTAAAAATTTCTCGCGCGCGTACACTCCGCGCGTACACGCCCGCATCTGAAATGTACAATCAAACTCGATGCCAACCGAGTTTCTGGCGTAGGGCGTAGGGCGCGTCATACGCTTCATGTGAAACGGCACTTAGGAATCCGAACCTCGGCAAATAAACGAATTACGAATTGTGGACCACGATAACATTTAGCTTTTTCACTGGAAATCTTTGTTGGAGCCAGGATTGTTCCGTCAGGAATCCTGACGGAACAATCCTGGCTCAGGATCGTCATGGAATTTCCGTGGCCCTCTGCTTAAACAGTGATGAAAAATAAGGAAGAGGGCTTCGTCATTCTGAGGTCATATTTATGTCACATTTATTACGTAAATATTAGGTAATGGTATGCTGTCACTGTTACATCAATATGTTTACGTCATATTTATGTCATATTTATTACGTCAGAGTCTGACGTAAGGAAGTGTGAAATAATGACTCTTGTATGACTCAAGTGTGACCTATATCTTACGTAAGCGTGACTTGACATGACGTCATATTTACGTAATTGTGTTTACTGGGTTACTATCAAAACACATATTTACACATAATTACAATTGTTCGAGTCAACACAGTGTCGTAGAAACAGGGGTTGCTTAAGCTTATTGTCCCATACAAACTTTGAGGTTAGTTTTTTATACCATTTGATGCAATTTTTCGATTACTCAGTTCGGCTACTATTAAAAAGGTGTACCTCTCAAACTTCGATAAAATAAACCGTTTCCGAGATATTTGAAATTACAATAATTGTTACATCGCATTAAAGGACTAAAAGGTATATGATAACAAATTTTTTAATTGAAAAAACCACAATTTTTTTTAAGGACTAAAAGGTATATGATAACAATTTTTTTAATTGAAAAAACCACATTTTTTTTTAATTTGACGGTCAGGGCAAAAAGTCCCGAGGGTCATGGAATGCCCTTTTTAGTTTTTTCAATTGAAAAATAAAA